GAATAATTTTAATCTGTACATTTTTCTTCCCACATAGGTGACACCCATCAGTTTGTACAAGTTAAGAAAAAGAAAAAAATCTGGTTGTTTACATCTGGATTATTACTGGACAGAGTCAGCCAGAAGTGGAGGAGTGGGTATCGTTTGAGAAAAGACTCATACAGTGTCACAGTAATTGCAGTTAACAATATGCAGCTTTTAACAAAGCAATACAGAATCAATCATCTTAGATTTTTTGATTGAAAAGATCTAGCTGAGAAAGTTCTGCCAAACAGCCGACCATCTGATCCAAAAGATCAAGGCTGACTTGACTTAGCAACCTGCAGCATGACCAAAAAACACTGGCGCAGTTCAGAGCTCTTCAAATGCATAGCTTCAGTGTTACATGCACGTTAATTATATTCCTTCAATTAGTTAATCCTCTAGACAGTTTGCGTTTTGTTTTGCATGCATCTTGTTCCATTTTCATTAAGGGCATCTCTTCCTTGGTCAACCATGTGCTTTGCTTTTCAATTTGTTTTTGTGATTTTTTTTTTTTTTTGTATGTTTTGTTTGTTAAGCTGTCAATACCTTCAACTCTTGGAAAAATGACATAGAGAAGCAGTTTGACTTACAGAAGAGAATCATAGCTAAATGGACAATGCAGAATGAAATGAAACAAGTGTCAGAAACAGTTTATAAAAATGGCACATTTATTGCTACAGAACGGTCATGTACATGACTTCATCGAGTAACTACAGATGAAAACAGGTAATGGCCTAGACCAAGCTGGGTTTGTTTTTGTCTTGAAGGAACTCCAGCACACGACCTGTTTGGACACGTCTACAAATCAGAAATACACCAAAAACATGAAAAAATCGAGGCACTCAGCCACACATTGAAAACAAGGTGTAACTGTTTATCTTTTTTTTTTTTTTTTGAAATGTTTTCCCTTTTTTTCTTTTTTTAACAATTTTTTTTCAGTTTTTAATGCTGCAGCTATGTGTACAGTCGCAAAAAATTTCCCCGCTGCGACCTACAACTAAAAAAAAAATCAAAAAACAAAAAACAAACAAAAAAGCTACCATACAGTTTCATCTCAGTAACACATGGTAAAATAACATCTTTTAAATAGTAAAATAAAGTAACAAACTTTTACTCATAATGATTCCAAAAATCTACAAAGAAGAAATATTCAGAATCTGACCATTTTTTTTTTTTGTAATATTCATGGTATAAAAGGATTGCTCCTGCGAAAAATAAGCCAAATATAGTTTTTATTTTTAAATTTAGTTTTCTTTTTTTTCCTACTAGGGTGTACTACAGTCTATTTCATAGCAAAAAGAGCACTAGACAAACAAAGCTTTATAACAAAAAGCCAGGCACTGATACATGGAAAATCTGTTTTTTTTTTTTTTTTCCTTATCTTCACTTAATTGCATCACAAGTAACAAGAATGAAAAAGGCCACAGTTCATATATTTTCACCATTACATATGTCTATAATACTTGAAATGAGTATGGCAAAACCAGCACTGCACAAAGATGAGTCCACTTCAAGTCCCATGAGAAAGAGCATGTCTCTAAAGAAAAACAAACGAAACCAAAGCGAAATGAAAAGCGGCCTAAAGGCCTTGGTGCCCCATTGTGTTGGAATTCATCATACGCCATCTTGACTTTGTTTGTTTGTTTCCAGTCAGCCAGCAGACTAAATTTTTGTGCTTGTTTATGCTGAAATGGTTTCATTCCTGACTCAAGTTCACTTTTGGACACAGATCATATTCTGCCTGTTGGATGCAAAGACGAAAATCCTCTTAACCCCAAGACTTATTTCGACTCCCACCCCCCCAACCTCCCAAACCCCTCATCAAAATAAAGATCACAAATAAAAATAAAAATCGAGAGATAGGAAGAAGTGAAAAACCAAAAGGAACCGGAAGACTGAATCAGAACAAGTTGCATCACCGGGTGGACTGACAGTTTTATCAACATTAGTGTTCCTTGCAGCTACACAGAAGACAAATGGTCAAAAGTTCTACATGAACAGATCTCTACTCTGCATATTCATAAATTACTTGAATGTGGAGGTGGATCAACTATTCCAGGTTGCTCTGAAAGCCCAAGTGTGTGAAACAGGTCCCCAGCAAAAACAGCATCACACAGAATGTAGTCTGGACCCTTACGGAATTTCTGTATAGTACTTATATCCTATCTATGACTAAATTTCATTCGAACACCCAGCGCAGGATACCAGTGTCTTACCTGGGTTCGATAATCACAAAACGACGACAAGAAAAAACACACTAAAAAGGCCACGTTCCCTTTCATCCTTTGAATGGGGATACAACCCAGTGAATACGGAGAGTGCAGAGCATGGTTCTCCACCGAGCCACAAAGTCGTGAGCAGCTTTTGGTGGCTGTTAGAAAGTTTTCTGCTTATGTCCAAAGGGAATTCAGCAACAGAGGTATTGCATTACTAAGTAATGAATACATCAAAGCTGGTGAGTAACGGACTGCAGCTTTTACTCGGTTTGAGTGAGAACAAAATGAAAAGCACCAATTTGAAAAATAATCAAATGACAATTTAATTTTTTGCTTTGTTTACAGATCTGAAACACTTTTAATTCAGCTCTATAAAGCACCTTCATGATAACAAGTATCATAAGTGCCTTTCTGAAAATGTACATCAATGCAGGGAGTGTTTCCAGTGCCCCCAAGAGTCAACACTGCATGTTCTGCACACGTATCCTGAATCCATCAGAGTATACCTGCTTCCTGTCTAATATTGTTTCTAGGGATACCCGCCTTGGTAGACTATACGAAATGAGTGCAGATGTACCACGAACATGAAATCTTTCACACACTGAGGAAACAAGGACACAAGGGTTTTCATTATTCAGGAAGGAGAGGAGAGGACATACCATTGTCTTCTAGGCCCATCTCCGAGTCCCTTTGTTCATACATTTCACAAGAAAGCCCAAGCTACTTCTCATGAAGTTTGATTTCTGCTCTTCTCCTAAGGTTTTTAATCCACCTCCACATTTTAGGAACTTATCAACAAATCAAAGTATTTTAGTTTTATCGCTACGGAACATATTTACAGTTTTCAACATACACACACACACACATGCACGCGCGCGCGCACACGCACCCACACAGCTAATCAAAATGTTTATGGGATTTGCAAAAGATGACCACGCGGTAACTATCTTATTTGTTCTTACATTTTCAGAAATGAACATAAAATTCAGATTCTTGTAGCTCACTATTTCATTTAAATGACTTTTTTTTTAACCACACAGTTTTTTAAAAAACAAAACAAAAAAAAGCTGATACAATGTATTAAAACACATAACAAGAGTCTACATGTAAAAATATAACTTTTACATACACAATTTCAAAATGATACGTTTGCCATTTGTTGCATAAAATTTACAAATGTATTTCATTACTTATATAACTGGCAAAACAGGAGAACAGACGGAAATTTAGACCATTTTGATGGATTTATGGCATTTCACTCAGTGCTGATAGGTGGAAAAACTACTTGAACAGGGATTTCTTTTCTTTTTTTTTTTTTTTTTTCCTCTTAATACATGCCAAGATCATGTGGCTGTAAAAACAGAAACGAGTTAGAGACGAAAGGACGCTGACAAATACTTATCTAGGAGCACTATTTGTTTACTGCACTAGACACCAAAGTCAATTATTATAAAGATTCACGATGGAAGTTAGTTCAATTGTGCCCAGACGTCAAAGCTAGCTCTCTGCTGAGTCGCTGTGCCATAGCTTGATCTATGTTTCTATCAAATATGTTAAGTATAAAGTTCATTCATACTGGCCAGAGAAATACTGCACTAGCCCTCCTCACCAAAGTGCAACTAAATGCTTCAGGACTTCTAAGGCTTGTTATAATGCTGCATGATGATTGGATATTGGCATTTTTTGAAGGAAGGAGGAGGCAGTTAAGTCATCTACATTTTAGTGAACCCATTTTGAAGAAAAAAAAAAATCAAGAAAGCAACAAAATCAATTAGCTGTCACACTACTTGCAATTTTCTCGTTTGATGGTTTTTGAACTTTTTTTGTTATGTTTTTTTTTTTTTCCAAAAATCTGACCATGTATTCAGAAACGCCTCACTGCACACTACTTCGGCTACACATGTAGGTAACACTTTAATCATCTTGTTAAATCACAGCCACTTTGATTATGTTATGTTTCCGATGATATAAACATTGGAAGGCACAGTGGTAACATTGTAGCATTCTAACCTTGTACCTCTGAAAATCCCAGAATAGGGTCCCCAACGCAACATTACAATCAGACAAACTCTTTTTGCCGAGTCATGGTAATGCTGCTGGTAATATCTACACATGACGTGACTTTAAGTCCCGTGTTCCCAAAAGGCTGGAGAAACAACTTTCTGCTTATTAATGAATGAGAAGCAACATCAGGGTCAGCATTGCATCCTGCACTACCCCTCCGGAAGCAGAGTTGGCACTACAGGTTACGACCACAAACCAGAGCCAGAAAAGGGACAGAAGGAGAGCAAAACAGAACCAAACTGAAAAAAAAAAAGAAAAAAAATCCGTATTTACAGTAAAATCTTTCTTTTAAAAAAGTTAATCAGTACTATTTTTTTTACAGGAGAAAAAAGTCTGAAACAAATGAACAAAAGCTTACCATAGTCACTAAATTTTTAATATATATTTATATATATATTTATATATATATTTGTCATAGGTCTATAAGATCCATCTGCTCTTCCTACCCTAAGGAATGGCTAATGTCATCACTCCGTTGTCATCAGGACGTTTGCTGGTTTTGTTTCTAGGGCAGCTGAGCTCCCCCTGTGATATCCAGTAATTCTATAAACACTAGCTGACTTGAATACCAACAAAAACGTTCATGTCGTTTTCTTCAGAAGTACACTTTTTCATTATTGCAAGTTTACAATTTTTTAAATTAAATATTTTTTTTTTTTTCAGACTTACAAATTAATTATATTTTATTTTTTTTTCTCCAAAAGAAGTTTAGGCACAAATGCATTGTTCCACAGTGTGGAGAGATTGCCATTCAGTCTCCGGGCTGGGTCTCAGCCTGCTCATACTGCTTTGCACGTTCTGAATGATATGTTAGAGAGAGTCGCCCCTCAAGTTGCACTTTTTTCTTTCTTTCTTTTTTTGTTTGTTTTTCTGTTTTCTGATAATTGGGAATGCTGAAACCTCTTGCGTCTGTGATTCATAACTACTCAGACTTGTCTTATATTACAAAAAAGGGGTTAAGGAGAAGTGTTTATGTGGGTTTAAGATAATACAGCTGTTAAGGAAGTGGTCTCTTGTTTTAATGAAGCAATGTGGCAACTTGGACCTGAGAAGGGAAAGAGAGAGGAAAATTAATTAATATATTTATAACAGAAGAAGTGGGTTTTTTTTTTTTTTTTTCTTTCATTCTTTCTCCAAGGTGGGGGGAATCTGCTAATTTGGGTAACATTTGACTCTCATGGTTCGGGCTCTGGTGAGGTTACAGCAGTGTTTTGGAAATGGCTGTGAACTTGCCCTTTTACATCTGTCCCATGTGATTCGCGGCATCTCCCATCCCAGGGTGAGGGCCTGCCAAGGAGAGCGGGGGCGGCTCTGAGGACACCTTTTCCTCCTCCCTTCTTTTCAGACACGCGGCTTTAGGGTTCAGGTTTCTTTCTGCAGAGGAAGAGAGCCCAGAGACTTCAGTTAATGGAACGCTGCTAGACGGTAATGAACGTGTCTGACCCTGTTTCCTAGTTTTTATACTACAGAATGAAGGGGACAGTCAGCCAATGAGTGGTGGAGTGAGTCATTTTGTTAGTAACTAATAAGACTGCACCGTGTGGTGAATTTGCATTTGCCATTTTACAGTGTAAGAGGAACTGGTCAAGTCCACCTACTGAGCTCTGGTTACCAACACTATCTTTGGACATGTCTGACTGTAGTCTTAATGATTGGAGGAAGGAGCCCTGATGGAGCAATGATTAAGTGCTCAGCTGCTAACTGAAAGGTTGGTGGTTCGAACCTATCAAGTGGCTCAAACCTCCTCTGTGGATCCATGGGAGAAGGACTTTCATAAAAATTATAGTCTGGAAACCCTATGGCATTCAACTCTCTCGTGGGGGTTCGTTATGAGCTGGAAATGGACTTGAGGGCACCCAACAACTGTTAGAGAGTCCTGGAAGTCAATTACAGGGCACAGCGAAGCTGCCCTGTAGATGGAGACATGGCCTGTAGCTGCACTAATTACTCTGAGTGACGCCGAAGCATCCACTCTCTCCTCCTGCCTGAGCCTGAAATATCTGCACGGCTCCTCGCCTGCTGCCCACGCTTCAGGCTCTTTCCCAGGACGCTGGCGGCCTGCACTGACCTCGGACTTGCTGCTCCAGGCTGAGGATGACGGCCACGGCCTGGTGAAGGATCAGGAGCTTGGTCTGGGGCTTGTCACTCTTGAGGTGGAGCTGCACCATGCGGCCCAGCTCCTTGAAAGCCTCGTTGATGTCACGGACCCGCAGGCGCTCGCGGGCATTGTTGGCCATCCTTCGCTCCTTCTCACGCTCTGCCTTCTGCTCCGGCGTGAGGTCTTCATCATCGTTATTGCTACAAGACAAAAGGGACGCGACATTTTCTAATGGTGTGGGAGAAAACAAGGTGTCTAAATTACTGTGTTTTTCAAGGAATTTTTCCATCTCAAGCCATGTTATTGGCAGAATTTTATATTCACTTGAGCTGATGCTTGCTGGGACAGTCGATGCACAAAACATTCGGTTCCTCCCAGATATGACCCCCAAACCAAACAGGAGAAGATGAGCTCCTTGTTACAGGGAGAGCGCAGGCTGCGCCTGTGCCGATGGAGGGAACAGCAAGGGGAAATAGCATTTGCTGATAGGGTTACCCTCTGCCAATGGGCCACTGTCAGCTCAGGGTGAACCTGCAGTGCATAAAGCCATGCTTCAGACAGATTTCTGAGTGCAAACCTTCGTTTAAAACTCTCAGACTGTGGTATGTGAAACCTGAGGAAAATAAGCAATCGAAAAGAAAATCTTGAAGAAATTCACAGAACACGTCAGAATCAACATGAGGCAGCTTAACAGGACAAAGAAGAGGTCCTCCGCTCAGGACACGAAAGCAGCGAGAGTGGAGATGGTCAAGATTTTGCACAGGTCTCACCACTGACTAGCGTTAGAGGCCTGCTCCACCCACTTAACCTATCTCAGTCTTACTTTCTCCATGTATTGAATAAAAGGTTAGGAACACACGATCTCCAGGCCTTTAAAGTCAGAAATGTTGATGATCTCAAAAGTTGAGGAAACCTGAATTGCTGAGCACAAAACAAATAATAAAAGACAAAAACCAAACACCTACTGGTCTCCACACCCTCAGAGTACACATGCCCATCTCAGATTGTGTGAGTGGAAATACTTGATTCACATTAAAGGCATGGCTGGACCCAGTGGAGTGTGCAAAGGCAGGATCTCTCCTGCACATTTTTGGGTGTCACAGTGGCAAATCAGAAAATTTTAAATAGAGGACAAAGAGGATGAGGAGCTGTCCTGGAAACATCTCATACAGGAAGGTTTCATGGCATCAGGGGTTCAAATATTTCAAGGGTCATTATGCAGAAAAGGGGCACAGGAGATGAGTCTCAGGATGGCAGAACAGAACAAAGAACTCGAAGTGCAACATTCTGACCTAATGTGAGCTAGAACCTTTTTGGGTATTTGTTGTTGTTGTTGCTGTTATGTGCCGTCGAGTCAAACGCGACCCCTCCTTGGGTTTCCGAGGCAGTATCACTACGGAAGTAGGATTGCCCAACCTTCCTTCCGATTTTGGGTATTAGAGACACCTAAATGAAGTAAGCTTCATTTGTGAAAAGTAACGTACTCCCCATGGCAAGAAACAATATGGAGGTGGCCACTTGTAAGGATGTTAAACTAGAGAAGGACAAAAGCTAAAGGACCATCATGGTTAAGTTCTGCTTAGAGAGTCCGTGAATCTGAAATGTTTGCAGAATAAAGATTGTCACAACATTTCAGAGTGGGAGTATACTTGGGAAATTATCTAGTCCATCTCATGCACAGTTAACAAATGCTGGCTTAAAATGCACGATACGTATCTTCCATGTTGGGAAAGAGTGTCAGGAAACTTCCAAATTGCAACAAGGACCACTGACTGAGAAGCCCCAATCAATCAAGAATGGAAGTGGTATTCCTAAGTTGCAAGTTCATATTGTACCTGAAGATGATGTAGGTAAGCCAAGAAATTTTGGTGAGGGGTAAAATATGGATGGTGGGCACTGAAAAAATGCTGCAAGACCAGTTCCTCTCACCACTGGTTAAACTTCTTTCAAGATGGACTGTCTGCATAGGTGGGAAACACGCAACGGAAATGAGCCAACTGGGGGAAAAAAGGCCTCTTTCTCCATCATCCAATCCTCCTCACTTCCTCTGCTGACCCCTCCCCACCCACGACCTCTGCTGCTGTCAAGGCTATCAAGTCACAATTAATTCACTTCTACCTTCCCTGCACTGAAAGGTGGTAACAGATAGAAAGGAAACAGAGCCAAGTCCTTCCTGCGCCCAAAGCTAATAATTTGGGTGATTTTTTTATACATCACACATTATGCCACACTTAACACAAGGGGACTTTAAAATGGAAATTTGTTTTCCAAAGGTTCTCAGGCTAATAACTAATTAGAATTGGCTGTTTACTTATAAATAAATTGGTTATGCAAATAAAATGGCCTAGATTTTTTAAAAGTATTGTCTTACAACATAAATTTGGAGGCATAAATGTCACAAGAGTGACCTTTTAAAAGAGGAAGGTTCTTAACAGCAAATTAAAATGTTCAGAAACTTCAAGGAATTCATTTAATATGCATACCCAGTAAGTGGTAGTTAAATTACCAAGAACCAACTGGACTAACCCAGACACTGTAAGGATGTGAAAGGCTCCCGTTTGGATCCCTTACAAGACTGCAAGAGAGTCTGCAGGGACAGTGCAAAGGAGTAAGCCAGAAGCTGGTAAAGTTTTTGGAACTTTGGGGCAAGACATGCAATGAAATTTAGCTCAATAGTCAACACGAAATACAGGGTAAAGTCTGTCCTTAGTTTATAAAGACACTAGTTACAACTTTCAGAACTTCAGCCTTTAAAAAGGGAAGATGCAGTCTTAGTACAATTGGTTTAATTTGCAAGTAAAAATGACTAAAGAGAATTGTGGCAATGAAGACACGTGTCACAGTATTCAAAGATCATCTTATTACCAGATTGAAATGAACGTTCAAGGAAACAGATCATAATTTAAAGATATCAGATATTTAAGAAAACCAACCCGATACTATTTTCCTGCAGTAGTACTTTCTGTAGAAAGGATCTTCCAAGAACAAAAAATAGCAATAGGGGAATTGTTCTTAAAGATACCAGTATGTTTAGGGTAAAATCTGGAAAACCAGCATTTTCTCCTATTAGTCATAAGGAAAAAGTTGCAATGTTCATATACACTGATTTAGTCTTTAACATTACCGTAATTTAGAAGGAACACTTTGGAGCAAATTTGTAGAATAAGAATAGTTTTCAAAACAAACCATTTGCACTTGATTCAATTACAAATTGTTTTTACCATGTGGAATTAGCACTGGGACCAAATTCAGAAATGCAAACCCGTTTTAGGCTTCACTAGAGTACAGGTATCTGAAACGATACTTTTAGTACTTCTAGAACAGGCCTTTGATTTTCTTTTCAGCTGTAGGTTTACCTGCCAGGAAAAAACTCAATGGTTTCTTCCTGTTCTGTTCACTTCATCAAAGTCCAATAAAGGAATTAAATGAAGCGACAGTATTATATACTGTTACCTAGATCTTGACCTAGTAATTGATTTGATATCCTTCTTGTCGTCATCTAATTTCTTGTCCTCGGAAGATTTCGTGTCTTGCAGGTTCTCGTCGCCCTCATCGTCAGATTTGATCTCAGAGCTGCCGGAGGAGACGCTCTGGCCCTGGAGTCCTGGTGGCATGCCTAAGGAGAAACAGGGAAAACCAGGTGACACTTAGGCCACAGGCCTGCTGCACCATCACGTGCACCCCAGGCTGCCGGCTCTACAATTCACATGGCCCTCTGTCACTTTTTTTTTTCCTGCTCTCTGGTGAAGTTTCAGAAATGCACCTGCGGAAACAAGTTTTCCCTGCATTGGCTCTGAGGTTAAATTCTATTTTGCAATCTTTTGGAGTAGATGGTAATTTCACTGTCTACAAAACATCAACTTAATTGCAATGAAAATCATAATCATGAAAATCACACACCTCAATGTTCTGATTAAGAACCCAAGTAAATATCAGCTATTATATTGAGTTTTTTCCATATGCAATGATTTAATAGAAAAAATGTCCTTAAAATATAATTCCCAGGGAGTATGCTAAATATGTACAGTCAAGACTTCAATAGATACCCTGATGATAGTCTGAAATTAGGCTTCTCTTATTCTCAGGGAGTAATCAGCTGTTAAATGGTACATATGGAGGCAGAGAGTGGCTCACTGAAGGCAGTGCTACCTTCCTCTCAGTGCTCTACTTCCAGATCACAATGCATTTTCAGACTTGACCCTACTGCAGCAATATGTCTAAGTATGTCCCTCCATTTGCAATCTGTGTAGTCCAGAACATTGTCACTCAAAATTTGGTCCATGGGCCAGGAGCACTCTTATCATCTGTGAGCCTGTTAGAAATGCAGCGTCTCAGCACCCCCCCACCCCCAGACCTAGTGATCAGAATGTACGTCTTAACAAGATCCTCAGGTGACACCCATGCAGAGTTTGGGAAGCTCTGATCCAGCATTGTGAGCACACTGACGGTTCTTCAAAAGGAAGATCCAACCAAATGCGTCGTAGTCAGGTAAAAATGGGCAGCACGCCGGTAGGTCCCATTAACACTCAGATTCTTACGATGTTTAACAGTTAAAGCATCTATGGATTGCTGTGTGGTAGTGTGATGAGTAGGTTAAAAGTCAGGGGATGAGAAGATGGCATTTAAATTTCTCCCATTCAATTGGCCAACAAAAACAGTGAATCCAAAACCCACGTCTTACCACAATAAGCACAAGGTTTTGGGGTCACGAAAAGCCACTGTGAGCCAGAGGTGTGAGGCAATCATTACTAAGGCTAGACTACTCAAGAGCTAACAACTCAACCAAGTTCCCTATTTAAAATGTACCCTTCAAGCCTTAAGAAAAAAAAAAAAAGGTTCCTTCCTATTCATTGGAAATGCCATTTTTCAGGCCATATTTAACCGTGTTAGAAGACCTGAGTGAATAAAATGTGGAAATAGCTAAAAGAAAATTTCCTCTCATCAGTCTCCTGCCTCATTCCCTGCTGAAATAGGACCAGGACTTCAGAGGACGTTTGAGGAAAACAATTACTGAGGAAACACAATTAGCAGGCTGAGTTCTAAATACTTTTCCATTTACTTACCATTTTTGTACCCAATTTTATCCTTGGTTTTCTGTCAGTGCTTCCTGAGGGAGTGATGCCAAAGAAGCTACGTATCAACACTGGATCTACTGTTGATAAGTGGAGTCAGAACTCCTCTTCAAGGCAGACCTACCTCTGTAAGGATCCTGGGGTGGGTTCAAGTCGGGGGAAGTTGCAGATTGGACAGGAAGCTGTGGAACCGGAACCTGGTTTGGCACAAGAGAATGGCTGCCTCTCAGGGCCACGCCATCTTCACGATGGGCCCCGACCTGAAAGATGGAGAGGCGCCACAGAGTTAGCAGGAACCAGTGGGGTGGCCAGGACCTAGTGCAGGAAGACTGGCCTTTAAAAACCAAGACTCCCATCTGCATTTCACTAGAGGGCGCTGAAGGACCACACATGCACCTAGAGGAGCATGCAAAATACTTAACACTCAGTAAGATGCTGTGCTGTACATTCAGTGACAAACATGGCAGAGTACTCAGGCAGGTAAAACGTCAAATTGTCTCCCAGGGTGCTGCAGTGGAGTGCACTGATTCATACCCATCTGTCTTCTATCATGTCCGCCAACAGATCTGACAATTATCTTAATGCCCATATGCTTAATTGTGGGCTTCTCAATTCCCCCATTGCTATCGGAAATCCTACAGGAATTTCAATTTGGCATTCGACTTTCATTTCAGGGGATAAGATTCTCAGGCCTGCCATTTTTTTTTTCCATAATGCCAGCTAAGCCTCTGACAGTGGAAGCTACAGCGGTATGGGACACAGCCCTTGCTCGGTACAAATATAATAAAATGTCACCTGGCTTTCCAAAACTGGCAGCCCATTCCAAATTAATGTTTACTGTATTTCATCAGCTGCTGAGTTCCAAATCCAAAGGGGGATCGTTTCTGCCAATGCCACCACACCGGAAAATGTACCAATAAAGGTTTTATTAAACACACCAGTAATGCCATCATTGCCATGCAAGGATGTTGGACATTTTTCCAATTCCCTCCCCCTCCTCACTACTCTGATCTAGAAAGACACCATATTGTAAACACTCTTTATGCTTCCAAGAATAAAATGATAGAGGACAACATCAGTATCGGTGTGAAAAAAATGGTGCTGCGCTTTTCATTAATTATACCACCAAGTCTGGGGCCAGGAAGGTTGAACCAGTGGCACGGAGAGGGCAACTGTAGACTTGATAGCATATGCCTTAAAGCGAAACCATTCAGCATTTGTAAACCATGGGAAACACGAGTAGCTCCCATTCTTTGTATCTCCAAGCCAGAGTATAGTACTTTTCTTAGACTATGGCTTAAATGAGCATTTATGTAGGATGATGGTTTTAATACTATTCATGAATTAATACTGCTATGAATCAGAAAACTCCATCTTTCCCGTCAAAAATATAAAACCACAAAGCAGAATTTGTCACTCTTTTACTACAAAAATATTTTAAAAGAGTATTTCCAAAGAACATGACATCACTGTCTGAACTAACAACAATCAAATTCCCATAACTGAAAGACAAGTTATCTAAAGGGAGCCAAGTAAAAGGTGTCACTTGTACATACCCTAAAACAAAACAAAGTTATTTAGGGAAATCACATAAGTCACACAAATTGTTCAGATATAAACAATTGAATTAAAATTAAAATACAGCAAGAATAGTGAAGAACGTAAAGGCTCGTACACATTGGCCAGTACAAACGTACGCGTTAGTCTGAGAGAATTTAAGAGTCTGGTGGAGTCCGCACCTGGGGCATGTGTCCCATTTACAAACGCTCGGAAAGAGGGTTACATAGCCTTTATGTGGGTGCTTCAAATACAGCCACTCTGGTGATCCCTCTAAGTACCCACTGCATCTCGTCAGAAATCAGTTCCCTTCACATTCCACCCACTACTCTTGTGTTACCTTCTGGAGTTCTGTGGAATGAGTGTAAATCCCTTTCCCATATTTAACCCAGTGGCCAACGTACTCTTGCATTTCACCTGTAACTTAAGCTTGTTTTCTTACAGGCAGACCGGGGGCCTACCCAGTGCCTGCCGCCATTTTTCACTCACTCTTTTTATATACTTTTATTTTCCTTTTGAACAAAAGAGTGATAGTTATATTCCATTCAGGTTTTGACTTGCCATTTTTATATTGGCACTTAAAGAAAACTGATTCAATCAATGATTATCTTCTCAATCTAAGATGTCAACTTGGAAGCATGAATTTTACAGGCCTTGATCAAACAGTCACTCTTTTAAGTCTGTCAATCAACGTTAACCTAAATAATTACCTTGGTGCTGATTCACATTTATTGCTATTCTCAATGGACTTAATTTCTTGCATCTCCACAAAGGATTATTCTAAGTTGGAATCAGTGAAAGACACCACAAATGAGCACAGAGATGTGGTTTACTTCTCCTTCAGAATCATCCTATTAAAAATCTCCAGTCTTGTCAAGTATCTGGGACAAAACTTTAAGTTACCATTTGGCTTTTCTCTTAAGGCATACTGAAGTTATTGATACTGAAGTTTCTTTTTGTTCCTTTTTTTTTAAAAAAAAAAATTTCCAGAATTGGTTTTCAAAAGGAAGAAGAGAACTCACAATTGATTACCTTTCTCCTCCTCAACTATTACGAAAGACAGTGTAACATTAGAAAGAGCACAGTAATGACAGTCAGGAATATCTAGATTTTAATTTCGACTGGTTTCTTTGTTAGCTATGTAAACCTGAGTAAGTTACCCAGATGCAAAATGGTGAAATACACACCTAGTTAATGAAGTTCCATATTTATTGTAAGGAGTAGTAATGTGGAAAACAATCAGTGAATAATAGATACCAGTCATGCAGATATTATGTGTTTTAAATACTTGTATGCTACAAGAACAAAGATAATGGCTCCAGTTATCTTCATATGTATGGTTACCTTTGTACTCTGTCTCTGTTACATTCACATCCACGTTATTTTAAACCTTTCTCCTGTACAATGACAGAACAATCTTAAGTGACATTATAAATATGTTTAAGAAGACAGTTGTTATAACTATATTTTTCGTTTTGATTTTAGTCATATGCGTTACTTAATTTTGCCATTTTCTGTATTATCCCAAATAATATCAATCCTTTTCAATAAAGGAAGTTGGCGACAAAGTTATCCTTGATACTGTAAGGCCTTGCTTGGTACTATAAGACCTTGTACCCAGATCAAGTGAATGACCTAAGATGGGCCGAGACTCACACGGTAATGACCCTGACTCTCTGGATCAATATCACTGTCTGTGGTAGTGGAAGAATATTCCAATTTGAAGAATTAGCTTTGCTCTGCTTATTTCCTTGGAGCTTTGGTAGCACAGTGCCTAAGGCATTTGACTGCTAACCAGAAGGCTGGTGGTTCAAACCCACCAGCCACTCCTCGGAAGGAAGGTTGGGCAATCTACTTCCGTAGTGATACTGCCTCGGAAACTCAAGGAGGGGTCGCTTTGAGTCGGGGCCGACTTGACAGCACACAACAACAACAACAACAACTGCTTATTTCCTTGGTCACTAACAACATGTCTTAACCCTAGTTACTTCTCTTTCACAAACATTATTTCTGTTCGAGTAAGAAATGAGGAAAGATAAACCAATGGGCTACGATTTAGAATACAGAAACAAAGCCACAAATCTCTAGTCAACTGAATTTTGGTGCTAAGTCCATTTAATGGGGGAAAAAGAGTCTCTTCTATAAATGGTGCCGGGAAAATTATATTTCCACATGCAGAAAATAAAACAGGATCCTTGCCTCACACCATACACAAACTAATTCAAAATGGTTTAAGGACCAAATGTAAACTAAAACCTTAAAATTACCAGACTAACAAGCAGGAGCAATGCTGTCAGGCCTAGCTTTCTACAATGGATCATCTAACATAATAACAAAAGCACAAACAGCAAAAGATAAAATAAATAAATAGGACCTCATAAAACCAACTTTTGTTCATCAAAGATTTCACCAAAAAAGTAGAAAAAGTAAGCTACTGATTGGGAGAGTATCTTTGGAAACCATATATCTAGTAAGAATCTAAATACCAATATATATATATATACAACTTTTGACAACTTAACAACAAAAAGACAAACAACTCAATCATAAAATGGGCAGAGGCCTTGAATAGACATTTCACCAAAGAGGACATTCAAATGGCCACCAAACATGAAAATATGTTCAGCATCATTAGCCATCAGAGAAATGCAAATCAAAACCACAATGTGATATTATTTCACTCCTTTAGGGTGGCTAAAGGGGTCTGGTGGCACAGTGGTTAAAGCATCTGACTGCTAATCAAAAGGTCAGTAGTTTCAACCCAGCAGTCTTTCCCCATGAGAAAGATGAGGCAGTCTGCTTCCATAAAGATTTGCAGCCTTGGAAACACTATGGGGCAGTTCTACTTTGCCCTGAAGGGTCGTGGTGAGTTGGAATTGACTCATTGGCACTGAATTTGCTTGTTTTTTTTTTTTAAATTTTTTTTTTAGAATGGCTAAGATTAAAGAAAAAAAAAAAAACAGAAAGTAACAAATGTTGGTGAGGGTATTGGGAGACTAGATCCCTTATCCACTGTTGGTAGGAATGCCACTGTGGAGAAAACAAGGTGGTGCGCAAAAAGCTAAAAACAGAACTATCATATGCCCCAACAATTCCACTCCTAGGTATATACCCAAAAGACTTGAAAGCAGAGACTCAAAAAGATCCCCATACACCAGTGTTCACTGCAGCACTAGTCACAACAGCCAAAAGGCAGAAACAACCTCAAGGCCCGTGACTAGATGAATGGATAAAAGAGATGTGGTACTACATACAACGGAGTACTACTCAGCCAGCAGGAAAAATGAAGTCTCGATGCATGCTACAGGACAGATCGGGCTTGAAGACCTTATGTTGAGCAAAGTAAGTCAATTACAGAAGGATAAATCTTGTGTAGCCTCATATAAAAAGATGAGAAAAGGCTAATGTATTGAGGGAGAGGGAAGAGAGGTGATGGAAAAATTGCACTGATTAAGAGTTGGGCTGCACAGCCGATTATTCTACTGTCAGTTAATAAGTTTTACAACTGTGAAAGTTGTATGACCGATATACTTATGAAGACGCCCCCAAAAATAAAAGTAGCTGCTGAGGCTGCTTATGTACAACCAAAGACTCATGGAATTCGGAGGTTTAGGGTCATGGTTTCATGGGACATCCCAGTTAATGAGCCTAATAATGTGTTTAGTGCTTCTCTTCCACCTCCGACCTCGCTGGGCAGTGCCTG